TCGTAGGGAGAAATCCTTGGCTATGACAAGAAGTCACGTTCGTATTGTAATACTCTGGCCTTTGAAGTTGCCGACCCATTGTACAGCCTTAAGATATGTTCGGGTCGTATGTCATGTTAACGTGGTTGTGCCTTCTAACCTTATCTATTGTGAGATTCTATAATAAAGGCAGCCTGTTATCATATCTGCTTTTATGGAAATATGTGTTTCAATATTTGATAATGAAAATGTCACAATTATTTCTACGTTTATTTTAATAGCAGTTCCGCTGTGCACAGGTGCGTGCGTTTAACCGCTGACATCCACGTATTCGGGGGGCCAGCGTAGATCCATACCATTGTCAACCTAAGGCCGGCTCTCTTCCTTTTTAAACCCTTGGCTTTACTTCGTATCAATACCGCTGATTGTTAATGATTGATCGTCAACGACAGCTTCATATCAAAGGACGTGATCACTGAGGAGTATCCCTACCGTAATCAACAGCTACATATATATACACCTGTGCTTCCTAAGTTTGCTGTAGTGCTTTGTGTATTGGTACAATGCCATGACTCAAACACGGCCGAATTCGAGTGATTGGGTATCGATTTGGTATCGATCAGTCCTCTGTACTTGATGGCGTTAGCGATAGACTCACCGACTTGTCTAAATAATAAGAACATAAATCATGAAATATTTGATTTACCTCCCCTAGACTAGAAAGCATTCGAAATGTTCCTCGGTATCAAGAACAAGGTAGCCGTGCATGCTTCTAATGGAAGAAATTACTGCCACAGACTTAGTCACAGGGACCTCACGCATTGGCTGTTATAGCAAAAGTATTATTAATATATGCATTAGTGTATCAAATTGTCTGGGTCCTGTGCACAGGGTGACTTGTGTTGTTTTGTTGTTTGTCCATATAAGTGGCTAAACAGCTTACAAACTGATTCCATAGCGAGCTGAAATAATTGTAAATCTCTCCCGTTGTTATCTATTCCCATAGAAAAGCTTCCTTAACTCCGCTGAGGGCATATTATCTTTCAACATTAAAATTATCAAAGTAGCGGCCATTGTTGATACGTACCCACATACTTGTCATAGATCTACATCATCACTATGTGGTCATACAGTGGTCGAAACGATGTTAGAGTCGTAGAAAAGGGGTAGAAAGGGAACAGGCAACGATCCATAAGGCAAGCCAACTAAACTGACATAGATACCAGGTACTAGAATATTAGTATTAGGCCTGTTTCCAATATGATATCTAAGCAGAGAGTGCATCAGTTGCAGTAGAAACCAGTACCGGGTCATCAGATCATCCTTGCTTTGTATGATTGCATGTAAAGGGAAAGGCCGAGAGAGAGGAAGGTTGAACAGTCAAAGCGTGTCGTGTTTCCCTTAGAAATCACCATGTACTTCTAAACAGCACTGATACATCAAAACACCAATCAATCGGACAATTCCACCCATAAGTAGACCAACACCAATAGGTCTGTTAGTATTTATACACCAACACACCAATACCTTAAGCGTCATTACAGATCCGACATTTCGCATTTGAAACTGAATCATTTCAAATATGTTGTCAGTATCTACACCAGCTCTATCGGAGACGTTCTCCATTTTACAGACAGGGTACATGTGTAATTTGATAGCATGTGTGTTTGCATTGAAAACCACAGAGATCAGCAAGGGGTAGAAAGAAATTGTGTAAAAAGTATTTTCGTAATTCTTTACGGCTAATTTACTGCTCACCCTTTCAATAACCTTCTCCATGTCGTCAGCAAACACGTACTATGGGAGTCTAGTTTCACACACCATAATTTGACAATAGTGTTAGCCGTGACCTTGACCTCGGTTCCCTAAGTATACTCTTCTCTGTCGTCCTCCAGTGTCTCGTGTAGGTAAGAAACTAGTGGCTTGATAATACAACCTGTCTTATACATTGTCTTGCTGTGATTTACGATAAGATCGAGTATACTTGTTAAATTTGTGAGCTCTTCGCATTTTGGTGACGCCATTTTGTCAGTTAGTGTCTACTGTACGAAAAGACATGCTATTTACGAAATGGATACACATTCCTAATAATCTGTCTTCATAATAACTCTATCTTTTTCACAAACTCGCTCTTGTGTCAGGTATCTGTAGCACCAGGTTCACCCTTAGGTCAATAGTAGGAACTTGACATTTCAAAATGAAATTTAAACGCGGTATATCCCACAATACATAATTTAACTCGAGTTCATCTACAGGTGTGGAGTTACCTATCACTATTTGATTACAAACCGAGACATGTAATCGTCAGCTCGTACGGAACAGATAGCTCCTATTTTGGACATGTCCAAAACAATTAGTGTGTTAGCCCTCCAAAATCGGCCGTGACAAATTAATTTCACAGCAGGGCGGCATACCCGTCCCGGGGATTCTAATATTCAAGGACTCTTGCGCTTTGTGGACACTGTTCTTATCTGTTTTCTTCAAAAAGATTCACATACCTTGAAATTAGTTTTTGTAGTAGTACCGTTTAGCCCGGGGAAGCTCTTGAATTTTGCCGATACCGTTCCACCTCTCCCATAAACCATTCCGAATTTAGCAGGTGGTAATTTGTTGGAGATATTAATGTATTTCCAGGAAGACAATTGAAAGCTCGGTCATGTGATTTAATTGTATTTGGAAAGCCACAAACCGGTCTTATTTATGTCATTTCACAAGTCAAAGAGTTGTTAAAGAGTTATAATTTTTGGACAAACCCATGTGCCATTGAGTAGAGAAAGTAGTCCCACTAGTAATACGTAAATGTTACATGTACAATATTACGACATTGTGCACAAATAGACGGGCAACAGGAGAAGTAGCAACAATAGACAAGAGAAACGGTCTTAGGAGAAGTAGCAACAATAGACAAGAGAAACGGTCTAAGGAGAAGTAGCAACAATAGACAAGAGAAACGGTCTAAGGAGAGGTAGCAACAATAGACAAGAGAAGCGGTCTTAGGAGAAGTAGCAACAATAGACAAGAGAAACGATCTTAGGAAAAGTAGCAACAATAGACAAGAGAAACGATCTTAGGAGAAGTAGCAACAATAGACAAGAGAAACGGTCTTAGGAGAAGTAGCAACAATAGACAAGAGAAACGGTCTAAGGAGAAGTAGCAACAATAGACATGAAAAAACGGTCTTAGGAGAAGTAGCAACAATAGACAAGCAAAACGGTCTTAGGAGAAGTAGCAACAATAGACAAGAAAAAACGGTCTTAGGAGAAGTAGCAACAATAGACAAGAAAAACGGTCTTAGGAGAAGTAGCAACTATATATTAGTAAAGACGGTAGAAAGATTAGCAACAGCAATAAACAGGAAAAAAGAAAAGACGACTGATGGAGAAATGATAATAACAGACAAGAAAAGACGGCCGAGGGACGAGTGCTAACAATATGCAAAGAAAGACGTCGGAGGTAGAATTGACAGCGAGAAGTGTCGACGGTAAAGGTGACAGCGAGAAGTGTCGACGGTAGAGGTGACAGCGAGAAGTGTCGACGGTAGAGGTGACAGCGAGAAGTGTCGACGGTAGATGTGACAACGAGAAGTGTCGACGGTAGAGGTGACAGCGAGAAGTGTCGGCGGTAGACATAAGGAAGATGGCAAGGGAGTAGCTGTCGACGGTAGACATAGGGAAGATGGCAAGGGAGTAGGTGTCGACGGTAGACATAGGGAAGGTGGCAAGGGAGTAGCTGTCGACGGTAGACATAGGGGAGATGGCAAGGGAGTAGCTGTCGACGGAAGACATAGGGAAGATGGCAAGGGAGTAGCTGTCGATGGTAGACATAGGGAAGATGGCAAGGGAGTAGGTGTCGACGGTAGACATAGGGAAGGTGGCAAGGGAGTAGCTGTCGACGGTAGACATAGGGAAGTGACAGCGAGAAGTGTCGGCGGTAGACATAAGGAAGATGGCAAGGGAGTAGCTGTCGACTGTAGACATAGGGAAGATGACAAGGGAGTAGCTGTGGACGGTAGACATAGGGGAGATGGCAAGGGAGGAGCTGTCGACGGTAGACATAGGGAAGATGGCAATGGATTAGCTGTCGACAGTAGACATAGGGAAGATGACAAGGGAGTAGGAGTCGACGGTAGACATAGGGAAGATGACAAGGGAGGAGCTGTCGACAGTAGACATAGGGAAGATGGCAAGGGAGTAGCTATCGACGGTAGACATAGGGAAGATGGCAAGGGAGTAGCGGTCGACGGTAGACATAGGGAAGATAACAGGGGAGTAGCTAACGACGGTAGACATAGGGATGATGGCAGGGGAGTAGCTGTCGACGGTAGACATAGGGAAGATGGTAAGGGATGGCTGTCGACAGTAGACATAGGGAAGAGGACAAGGGAGTAGGTGTCGACGGTAGACATAGGGAAGATGGCAAGGGTTGGCTGTCGTCGTTAGACATAGGGAAGATGGCAAGGGATGGCTGTCGACGTTAGACATAGGGCGGTAGACATAAGGAAGATGGCAAGGGAGTAGCTGTCGACGGTAGGCGTAGGGAAGATGGCAAGGGAGTAGCTGTCGACGGTAGGCGTAGGGAAGATGGCAAGGGAGTAGCTGTCGACGGCAGACATAGGGAAGATAACAGGGGAGTAGCTAACGACGGGAGACATAGGGATGATGGCAAGGGAGTAGCTGTCGACGGTAGAGATAGGGAAGATGGCAAGGGAGTAGCTGTCGACGATAGACATTAGGGAAGATGGCAATGGAGTAGCTGTCGACGGTAGACATAGGGAAGATGGTAAGGGATGGCTGTCGACAGTAGACATAGGGAAGAGGACAAGGGAGTAGGTGTCGACGGTAGACATAGGGAAGAGGACAAGGGAGTAGCTGTCGACAGTAGACATAGGAAATATGACAAGGGAGTAGCTGTCGACGGTAGACATAGGGAAGTGACAGCGAGAAGTGTCGGCGGTAGACATAAGGAAGATGGCAAGGGAGTAGCTGTCGACGGCAGACATAGGGAAGATAACAGGGGAGTAGCTAACGACGGTAGACATAGGGAAGATGGCAAGGGAGTAGGTGTCGACGGTAGACATAGGGAAGATGGCAAGGGATGATGGCAAGGGAGTAGCTGTCGACGGTAGAGATAGGGAAGATGGCAAGGGAGTAGCTGTCGACGGTAGACATAGGGAAGATAACAGGGGAGTAGCTAACGACGGTAGACATAGGGATGATGGCAAGGGAGTAGCTGTCGACGGTAGACATAGGGAAGATGGCAAGGGAGTAGCTGTCGACGGTAGTGGCAAGGGAGTAGCTGTCGACGGTAGACATAGGGAAGATGACAAGGGAGTAGCTGTCGACGGTAGACATAGGAAAGATGGCAAGGGAATAGCTGTTGACGGTAGACATAGGGAATATGACAATGGAGTAGGTGTCGACGGTAGACATAGGGAAGATGACAAGGGAGTAGCTGTCGACAGTAGACATAGGGAAGATGACAAGGGAGTAGGTGTCGACGGTAGACATAGGGAAGATGACAAGTGAGTAGCTGTCGACGGTAGACATAGGGAAGATGGTAAGGGATGGCTGTCGACAGTAGACATAGGGAAGATGGCAAGGGAGTAGCTTTCGACGGTAGACATAGGGAAGATGGCAAGGGTTGTCTGTCGACGTTAGACATAGGGAAGATGGCAAGGGAGTAGCTGGCGACGGTAGACATAGGAAAGATGGCAAGGGAGTAGCTGTCGACGGTAGGCATAGGGAAGATGGCAATGGAGTAGCTGTCGACGGTAGACATAGAGAAGATGGCAAGGGAGTAGCTGTCGACGGTAGGCGTAGGGAAGATGGCAAGGGAGTAGCTGTCGACGGGAGACATAGGGAAGATGGCAAGGGAGTAGCTGGCGACGGTAGACATAGGAAAGATGGCAAGGGAGTAGCTGTCGACGGTAGGCGTAGGGAAGATGGCAAGGGAGTAGCTGTCGACGGAAGACATAGGGAAGATGGCAAGGGAGTAGCTGGCGACGGTAGACATAGGAAAGATGGCAAGGGAGTAGCTGTCGACGGTAGGCATAGGGAAGATGGCAATGGAGTAGCTGGCGACGGGAGACATAGGGAAGATGGCAAGGGAGTAGCTGGCGACGGTAGACATAGGAAAGATGGCAAGGGAGTAGCTGTCGACGGTAGGCATAGGGAAGATGGTAAGGGAGTAGCTGTCGACGGTAGACATAGGGAAGAGGGCAAGGGAGTAGCTGTCGACGGTAGACATAGGGAAAATGACAAGGGAGTAGCTGTCGACGGTAGACATAGCGAAGATAACAAGGGAGCAGCTGTCGACGGTAGACATAGGGAAAATGGCAAGGCAGTAGCTGTCGACGGTAGACATAGGAAAGATGGCAAGGGAGTAGCTGTCGACGGTAGGCGTAGGGAAGATGGCAAGGGAGTAGCTGTTGACGGTAGACATAGGGAATATGACAATGGAGTAGGTGTCGACGGCAGACATAGGGAAGATGACAAGGGAGTAGCTGGCGTCGGTAGACATAGGGAAAATGGCAAGGCAGTAGCTGTCGACGGTAGACATAGGGAAGATGCCAAGGGAGTAGGTGTCGACGGTAGACATAGGGAAGATGACAAGTGAGTAGCTGTCGACGGTAGACATAGGGAAGATAACAGGGGAGTAGCTAACGACGGTAGACATAGGGATGATGGCAAGGGAGTAGCTGTCGACGGTAGACATAGGAAAGATGGCAAGAGAGTAGCTGTCGACGGTAGACATAGGGAAGAGGGCAAGGGAGTAGCTGTCGACGGTAGACATAAGGAAGATGACAAGGGAGTAGCTGTCGACGGTAGACAGAGGGAAGATGACAAGGGAGTAGCTGTCGACGGCAGACATAGGGAAGATGGCAAGGGAGTAGCTGGCGACGGTAGACATAGGAAAGATGGCAAGGGAGTAGCTGTCGACGGTAGACACAGGGAAGATGGCAAGGGTTGGCTGTCGACGTTAGACATAGGGAAGATGGCAAGGGATGGCTGTCGACGTTAGACATAGGGAAGATGACAAGGGAGTAGCTGGCGTCGGTAGACATAGGGAAAATGGCAAGGCAGTAGCTATCGACGGTAGACATAGGGAAAGGGAGTAGCTGTCGACGGTAGACATAGGGAAGATGGTAAGGGAGTAGCTGTCGCAATATACACAGAAAGACGCTCGATGGGTGGTGACTGCAAGAAAGGAGGACAAGTAAAGAATGACAGCACTGATAGGAAAAGACAACGAGTGGAACGTACAACATTCCATGCATAATACAAAATGAGGATGCATGCAGTAAGATATATATGACCGTGCACTACAGAATCTTAGGATAACGAAATAACCTACAACACCACTAGTAACTGTTATATATCACGATCAAGTCGGAGGAATGTAATGTATACGTGTGAACTGTCAAAACAAGTTCAATCAATATGGAGCATATTTCAATACATTTGTATATCAAAGACTGTGTACGACGCCAGACATCCTGAGGTAGACGTGAAGTTCTGGAGATCTCCGACACAGCGTCAATAGTGTTGGGTGACGCTAGATTATAGAAATTAGCCTCACAGTATCAGGAACACATTGACGCATTTCTGAAATCTCATATCCCTTATCTTTTCAATATTACTCCTTTATCGTCAATTGTTTGAAGGAAGTGGGATAGAAGGTATAATGAAATTACAAAAATACTCTAAAGCGAGATGCAAACACCGCGAGAATTGGTAACCTTTTCAGTGATAGTTTATCTGTAATTTGTACCTCTTTAAATTGAAATGCGACAGGCGCAGCTATCACGTTTCTTTTAATTGTGTTGACGAGAAAAATAATCTGTCACCTTAAATACCGATATCGTAACGCGATCAATCATATCTGTGTTTTATACGGTTTTAGTGAAAATATTTCATTCTTTCTTCCAGTTTTGAATAAAGAACGATGATCGATTGGTGAAAAAGAGTCTAGGTGGCTGCCTTCCTGTGTTTGTATCAATGGAGTATTGTAATTGTGTTATTTACAACTAGTTCCATTACTAGTGAGGACTAGATATCGACGAAATGTGTCATTCTTAATAAAATGTTTAATGATTAATACGCTTCATGATTTGAATTTTTTATTAGAACTTTGACGCAATTTGTATTTTCATTGAAAAGGAACAGAAGACACCCATCCGATAGCACAAGATTTAGACAAACGTGAAGGTCGTTTGTATTCATCCCGCATTGAACGAGCATTGGACACGCTATAAAAGAAATTACTGTTTCGAATATTTTTATAACAAACACTTAATCGCTCAATCATATTTGGCCACGTTTGAACAAAAAAAGGTAAATCATTCCTTGGAACATCCTAACGATGTTTGTTCCGAATGATAAAAGATACATTAGATGAGACAGTAGTCCGGACTAATGTGCCCCGATGACATCCGGGTGACACGGTTCATGTCATTTCTGCGTTTTCCATTGACTTCGATATTGAATATTCTAGTATCTGTTTGTTCTACTATTCGTTGGAACTATAAAGTATTTGGGACCCGCCGGTCGTGATATCAGTATGTAGTTTGCGAGTCTGTGGTAGGTGTTTGGTGGCAGGTTACTACTGTTTGTTCGATATAAACTTTATTTTACAACAATTGTTGGGAAAGAATTATCAATAGATAAATATAAGTCTATGGTAGCCAAATGAAGGTGAACACGGGGTCTTAACGTGAAGGAAACCGGAATACCTGGAAAAAACCCACTGACCAGGTGACTTATCTTTTCATATCCGATCGGGGAATCGAAACCCGGTCGGTTTTTGAAAGGCACGTGCGCTGTCCACTGCGCAACCCGATTGCTCAGTTGCAGTCCTATATTAGACATCTAATAGTAGTTATGGAAACCCACTTGAAAATTAGCCTTCATGTCTGGAAGCGGAACCGGAAGTCATCGTTTTGGACTCCACAGCCGTTGTGGGCGGTAATAGACGGGAAATTGCTATGACAAAGGTTCCCCGTCCGGTGTCGGTGGTTAGTGCCGGGTTGTCGGGGGTCAATTGTTATTGCTAGATTGTCATGGGTCAGTGTTTAGTGTTCGGTTGTCGGGGGTCAGTGGTTAATGCTAGGTTGTCGTGGATCAATGGTTAGTGCCAGGTTGTGGTGGATCAATGGTTAGTGCTCGGTTGTCGGGGGTCAGTGGTTAGTGCTAGGTTGTCGTGGATCAATGGTTAGTGCCAGGTTGCCGGGGGTCAGTGGTTAGTGCTCGGTTGTCGGGGGTCAGTGGTTAGTGCTAGGTTGTCGTAGATCAATGGTTAGTGCCAGGTTGTCGGGGGTCAGTGGTTAGTGCTCGGTTGTCGGGGGTCAGTGGTTAGTGCTGGGTTGTCTCGAATGAGAGGTTAGTGCTCGGTTGTCGGGGGTCAGTGGTTAGTGCTCGGTTGTCGGGGGTCAGTGGTTAGTGCTTGGTTGTTGGGGGTCAGTGGTTAGTGCTTGGTTGTCCGGGGTCAGTGGTTAGTGCTTGGATGTCGGGGGTCAGTGGTAAGTGCCGATTTGCCGGGGTTCAGTGGTAAGTGCCGGGTTGTCGGGGTCAGTGGTAAGTGCCGGGTTGTCGGGGGTCAGTGGTTAGTTCTGGGTTGTCCTGCGTGGTTGCTATATACGGCGGTACGATAATGTGTTTCTAGAATTCTCTGCCCTCCCCATTATCAACACTACTTTGCAGACATATCAGTTGAGAGGATTTAACATCGCCGGTTTTTCTTCTTTTTCTTTTCTTTTGGAAAAGTTATTTTGCAAAACTCTTCAGGCAGTCACGTTTTTTTGGGTGGAGAAGAATATCCAACGGCGGACGCCATGTAATTTACGGGTTATATCTTTATGCATTGCTCTTTCATCTGTAAAATAAGTAGACCGATTTCATTAATATAATAAATCAAATGACGTTTTTTCTTCCTGTTTTTAAGAAAAAATTTTGAAATAATAACATAAACCGACAGAAACGTGATATGGCCAAACACTGTTAACAGATATAGTAATCGCTATGAAACTTTTGACATTTGACCTTCGATTTTGTAAATTTTCCATGTTTTTTAAAAGGATAAGATATTAGGTAATTAAAACCGGGTTTTGTTTGATGTTACAATGAAGTATCGATTTCAGAGAATCCCATTAAAATTCATTAAGTTTCATAAAATAGCACTGTAGAGGTGGTAGGTTTGCCCCGGCGTGCGATGTTTGTCTCTGAGGCGGCGAGGGACAGCGTATTTGATACCTGATACGGTATTCCGTGCGCTACAGATCACTTAGTGTGAAGTACATACCCACCTGTACTTTTATATCCAATGTACAGTGTACTTGAACCTTTTTTCAGTTTAATGACAGAGGTATATAATTACATTAATATCATTTTGTGAAATCTAAATTTAGCAACATCTAGCTTATTTAAATCTAAACTTTGCCGTTCTGTGGTCAGAGTGTACATGCATATTGAAACCAAACCCTTGAATTTTCCATTTAAACTGATTTGTGAAATTGTTATATCCGTATCTGAAAAGGATTTATATTAAGTAATAAAAAGTTGTGCTTTATATCATTTTTATTTGAAATTGATTTAAACTAAATCAAGTCGAGACAAATCGTGACAGCTTTATGTGCCATATCATATTTTTGGAAAATAAAACTTCGTGAATACAGTATTTGAAATGGATTTAAAGAAAAACAAGGCTTCAAGATTAATATTACATCAAAGCTAGCAAAAAATCCTCATCAAACGACGGATGGGTTCTTAAAGAAGACTATTTACAGAATTAAAAATGTCGTTGAATAGCGAAACCTAAAAACAACGTATTTACTTTCGTACTCATTGCCATCTGATCGAAACTAAAGAAGGAAGTAAATCAAACAACAGACTTGATTTCACAGGTGCATTCTAATATTTGATCAGAGCTTCTAGGCTTCAATGCAAATATACCTGTATGTACTCTGTAAAAATGATTATCTTTTTATACAAATTGAATTTTGATTGAATGATTGGCGTGTTTGACCACGTCAAGGCCTGTATTACTCGTGAGTCGTGTCTTTGTTAAAAGATATATCACACATATCCGTGAGTTACAATACGGGGATACACAAACACCTGATTGTTCGGGAAGGCCATGCGAACATCGATGTTTTACAAAATACAAAAAGAAAAACAATTAATAATCGTACATGCCCGATAACGGAATTTCTTCTGGATTAAAGTTGACCGAATTATGGAATTCCTTCGGTATTGCTAAAATGTTTCCTAAAATACCTAACACATTTTCACATGTCTGTTTGAAGTGCGAATCTGTACGCCAGAGAACCGTGTTTATTTGTCATTCATATCAATGATTAACATGGGCTTTGCATTGATTGCGTCTATACACTGTGTCAAAATAGGGGGCGACATCATGCATTGTTTTCACTGTGGCAAATTAGAGGGCACCTGCATGGGGTCTCAGAGACCCCGGCGTTTAAAAAACGACTTTTATTACTTAGTCTATATGTAGTATTTATAAATAACACTATACGTGTAAATTAAAATTAATAAACTTAATCGACAATATCTTCGTGTACGTCGATAAAAGATGGAACACGAATCATTATGAATATTCATGACCTTGCCATTTCCGGTGGAGGTGGATTTCTGCAGCTGTGCATGCAGGGCGTTGTGACAGTCGTCAGTGTGGTTCGCATATGTCCGTTCACGTTGGGCAGCTACAGTGCGAACAAATTGGCAGAAATGGAATAAGAGGTCAGTACGGTATATATTATAAACTATACAGTTGTTTTCTTTTTGAACATAAAGAAGCTGCCAGACAAGATAATATGGCGCACTTGCACCTTGGATTGCATGAAACATCACCTATATCTAAAGCTCCTTCATCCTAAACAGAGACCTCTAATGCAT